TGGTGAGACACCCTTTGGAGGCTCCTAATTCCCTTCAGGGACTGTGTAGGAAGCCTAGGCACTGATCTTGGTTTATCTGAATTCCAGGCACCCAGTTATTAATCAGAACAAGGCATTAAATGGAGCTGTCAAAGGGGATAATTTGGATTTGATGTTTATAGTTCTCTCTTATTCCAAGGCTTTACCTTGGGAACAGTGAGCCATTCTAGCCTGGAGGCACCCAGGGAGTTAGGTTCTTCTCAGCTGATGCAGTGTTTCTCAACATGAATGCTTGGCATCTCTTCACTCCAGGCACATATTCTTTGCTAGAGTTTCATTCCTTGCAGGTCAGAGGGTCTTCAACAGCTGTCTGTGATTCTACACACATGGGCAAGATGCTCTGAGGAACCTATGATTCTGATAAAAAGACTGCAACTCCCTCCCACATTGTCAAAGATATTCTACAAAGAAAGTTGCTGGGTTCAAGAGAGGTGTAAGAAACTAAGGGGTTTGCTTCCTTCTTCTCAATGACAGGGTCACATTGTCTTATGACAATGTCTGTAGCCCTAGGGAGTCATAATGCCTGAAGGACACCGAAGGGCTCCCTTCACCACAATATATCTCAAGAGCAAGGACCTGTAGAGCAGAAGACATTGCAAATCTTACACAAAGCAGATTCACAGTTTATTCTCATTTAGTTCACAGAACCATATAATCCATCCCTAGACAATTCCCTGCAGGTTGTAAGGCAGTAGCTTAGCACTTGGAAAAAGAGTTCAAGGGGCTCTAATGACAGGCACTTACATGCCTCATGTCATCCTCTCTCAGGGTAGCTACTTTAGACTTTTGCTTTAACTTTTTCCAACCTTTGGTTTCTGTATTTGAGCCCTGAAGTTAACTCTGTTTCATATCCTGAAGTTTCCTTCTGCAGTATTAAGGGCTAGAAAGTTGGCTAATCTTTAAAGTGAAACAGCATTTTTCTTGTAATCATTTTCCTCCAGGAGCTGCAGATACAAGCAGACCTAGACAAGCTGGCATGTTGGGCAGAATGGAGCCAGGTGAGGTTCAACACAGAGAAATGCAAAGTGCTGCATCTGGGAAGGAAGAACCCCCAGCACACCTACGGGCTGGGCATCGCTAACCTGGCCAGCATGCAAATGAAAGGGATCTGGGGTTAACAACAGACCCCAGCATGAATATGAGCCGGCAATGCGATGCAGTAGCCACTAGGGCCAATAAAACTCTGGCATGCATCAATCGATGCATCTCCAGTAAATCCAAAGAAGTGATTCTCCCACTTGACTCAACATTGGTGCAGCCACACCTGGAGTATTGCATCCAGTTCTGTGCCCCGCACTACAACAAGTATATATATGGTAAAGCTCAAGAGAGCCCAGAGAAGTGCCACCCGCATGATCAGGGACTTGCATGGTGAGCCATATGAGGAGAGGCTGAGGGATCTTGGACTCTTCAGACTGGACGGTCACCTGGCTGGGGTCATCTTAGCCCAGATGTTTCTCCTGTTCGTGCAGGGGGCTGGACCCGATGACCCTTTGGGGTCCCTTCTAGCCCTGTGATTCTACAATTTTAAGTGACGATGTTGTGAGCACTGGACACACTGCCCTTCCCTCTCACCTATCTGTGAGTCCCTGTAAGTCTGTAGGTTCACCTCTCTTTCTGCTGGGACACCATTGATACCAGAAACAGGAAAATCTGGAAGATCAGGAACTTCTCCAGCTTCATCATAACCATTTTCAGTGACACCTCTAGCCAGTGCAAGGGCCTCTGCAACAGAGGAAGGAATCACAGGACATGAGAGCTCCTCTACTGAAGACAGAAATACATGACCTGAAAGGGAAAAAAAGCTGAGAGGCTTCCACTGCCCAGAGCCAGGAGGCAATGAGAGACCACTCCTAGGCACCATAATTAGGGAGGCTATTGGAGATGCTCTAATTAAAATGCTCCCACCCACCCACCCCAGAGCATGTGTAAAGATGCACGAGTTACTAGCATAATTTGGTGAAAAGGAGTGAAGGGCATCACAAGGAGAGGTCTCCCCAGAAGAAATCATCTGTGGGTGACAAAGGTATAGGGTGTTTTGAGCTTCCCCGTTATAGCCTATGGGTGAAACATCAAAACAGTGTCAAAACAACAAAACTGTTTCGACAAAACGAAATGGAAAAGTGGTTTCAAGTCAAAACAAAATTCTAAATGAAACGCAGTTCCGTCTAAACGTCATAACACAAGTCAAAATGGAACGGTGCCGTTTCGCACAGCTCGATAGTGGATAACATGATGTGTAGTAATTTGTGCTCCATTGGGAGCTAGGGTCCAAGCTAGAACTCAGGACTGGCTCTTTTCCAGTGGCTTGTGTCTCATCTAACCATGGCTTTTTTCACTTTAGTCTTCCATCCTTGTCCTGCATATGTCCCTCTCTTGGTATCCAGGGGTCCAGCTTCAAAAGGAGGGCTGGAGATGGATTGGAATTATGTCTAACCTGTGGGTCAGGGGTTGGAGCCATGCTTCTTGAACTCAGGGTTATGCAAGTTCAAAGGCCCTGGACTGGAGGCTCAGACTCATGTCTGATCTCTCCGAAGTGATGGCCTAAATAATGTGGCGCTTGGGGCTAAGATATGGAGGAGTTCTCCTCCACCCTCAATTCCAAACCCACTACTTATGGGCTTTGTTTTGTGACTTATGCATGTAGACTGGCTGTGTGCACATAGCCATGCACCTGACTCCTGTATAACTTACTGAGCCTACATGACACTTTGTCATATGCTTATAGGTCCATACTGCACAGGTAATGGTCGGTAACAGAATCCCAGTGCGCAGGCACCAAAAAGGCCAGTTTCACAGTTGGAAAACTGTCATTTAGTTGCATACAGGGAATGTAATTCCAGCCTTCCTGTGCCTCAGTTACACATACGGGACTTTCATTTGTTCTATTTATCACCTGCTTCTTCAGTTTTCCATCATTTTTTTAGCAGCTCATTGTGGTGCTTTCCCAAGAATGGACTGGCCCATTACCCATCCCAGATGCTCCTGGGACACCTGACTCCCCAGGGCCAGGCTGACTCATACTGCCATTGACCCAGGTCAGTGACACCGTGGTACCAAGTGCAGTTACTTCCCCAGCTGACCTGACTCTTTCCTGTGCCAGTGCACAGTCACACACATGTCCCTGTCCTGTCCCAGTGCAGCATGTGCTTCTCCGCTTCTTCACCTGCCCCAGTCAGCTAAGGAAAGAAAAAGCTGAAAAACCTCCCACAGCTAAACAGCTATAGGTAGTCATTTCCCATCATGTAGGGCTTATCTATACTGTGGAAGGAGTGTGTCAGGGCTCTGTGGGTACTCGAGCCCATCACAACCCTTCCCTGACCCAGCTGAGTCCTCATGCATGCACTAGGTATGAAGTTTCACCATTGAAGCTGGTCCAGACTCTTTCCAAAGGCCTGCTGGAGAGCAAGGGCTCAAAACCAGGTACCAAAGGATGAGCTTGGAAAAGGTTCACTGAATCACTCCCAGACAGGAGCGTGCCTGTGGATAGGGTTTGGCAGGGTGAGAGGGGGGTATGATCAGGCCCCTGGGGCCAGGGCACTGTGAAGGAGTGAGACAAAACTCACAGCATGGAGGGCTGCCAGGAGCTACAGCTGAGGATCTGGAGCGAGGCAGTCCACAAGGCCTGAGAGAATCTCCCGAGTGGAGTTGCTCAACAGAGGACATGGAGGAGGGCCCTCTGGCCTCCTCGGTGCCCTGATCCTGGCCCCTGACAGCACTCAAGGTAGCCACACATGCTCCTCGGGCGCTAATCGGACCTCCAAAACCTCCCCTGTAGTCCCAAACCCAAACCACTGCTTTAACTACCACAAAAGAGCGAGCCCCCTGCTTATACCACAGAACAAACCCTGTGATGGCTCCCAATATAAACAACAATTTGCTGGCTATATGAAAGAGCCTTCCAGTAACCTGGGCTCTATCCTGTCCTAGCAAGAGTGCCTTACTGGTAGCTCAAAGCAGCTTCCCAGTCCAGCCAGCACTCCCCGGCAGCCTTCCTGCTTGGCATCTCCTACCTGGATGCTTACAGGCCCCCACTGACTGCCTGCTCTCGGGCACTGGCTATTTGTGCCCCATAAGCCCTCCCCACCTGCAGCCTCTCCAGCTGTTCCCTTCCTGAGCCTAAGGGCCTGCCTGCTTTCCCAGCTAAGGCTACTTGCATCCTTCTCTCCTCCTCCAGTGACAGCCCCATGCAGGCCCCCTGGCCAAGGAAGACAAAAGGCTGCTGGAGCTGTTTTCTCCAGCACTCTGTTTCCTCAATCATTTTCCATCAATATAAACAAAGCCTATGGCTTTTGTGGTCATTTTCCTAAGGGATAGTAATGTCCCCAGACACTGTTGACAATTCTGATCTAAAACCTGTTTGAAAGGAAGGGCATGCTCAGGAAACCATTATTGCTATCACTAAACCTCACCCACTAGTGAGGTCCCATCAGGGTTGTTGCGCTATAGTTTAGACCTGGATACCCCTCCCCCCCAGCCCCTGAGAGGTCTTTTATGAAGAGCCCGTTGTCGGGGATGCTGATGAGGCAGAGCAGTGTCCCTGACAGCACTGGGCCCACATCGAGCAGGCAGGCCAGCCTGAGCCAGGTACCACAGCAGCCACACCTGCAGCAAACTGCAGCCCATAAAATCTGCCCCAAGGTAGGAGCAACAGGTATATGGGTTGGCTGCTGGGAGCACCAGCTATCCATGTAGCACCAGCTGGGGCCCTGGGTCTGCAGACCAGTCAGCAGTTTTGCTGGGATAAGCCTCCCGGTTCCTAACTACTTCCACCCTCTGCCTGGCACTGCTTGCCCTGTTTTTTCATGAATGATCCCAAGAACTCAGTTGTCCGCTTTTTGTGTAGCGGCCCTGACTAAAGGAAGTCATTGAGAGACTGGGTGGGCTGTGCCCACATGTTTTAAAGCTGCGCAGATAGGCCTGGTTCCTAACCCTGCTTTTCAGCTTATTTCTGCACTTCAGCTTTGGATTTTCCTGCGGTTCTGTTTCCTAGTTCCTGACCCTGGTTTAAATCTGCTTTTGGACTTTGCCCTGTGGATTGCCTGTCAGGTTGGTATTTCATGTTTGATCCCCGGACCCTAGCCCTGGACTGTGTCATGGACTCTGTTTGGATCTTTCTCTGGCTTTCATATACATTTCCCACTCTTTAATGCAGCTCTAGGCCCTGTTTTCCCTTGGTGGCTGTGGAGGAGCGAGCATGGATGCAAGGGAAAATAACGGAGAGTGCCTCTTCCAGAGCCGTTACCATACAAGGATAGAAGCTCTGAGAGAGGAGCGTAGTGGCAGGACACAAGGTCCAACGGAGATGAAGGAGGAAGAGAGAGAAGAGAGGGGAATGCTGTGGATTGCTGCCCAGATTGGTATTTCTCTGTTGACCTCCGGATCCTGACCCTGGACTGTGTCATGGACTCTGTCTGGATCTTTCTCTAGCTTTGGTACATGCTTCCCACTCTTTGATGCAGCCCTAGGCCCTGTTTGCCCTTGGTGGCCTAAGTAATGGATCAGACTAGCTATGTCCTGGTCCATTGCACCCATCCTGGTCCACAGTGAAGTGACTGGAGCAATTAGAAATAAAAAGGCCCTATGTAAAAAAGAAAGGGAATAAGTAGCAATCTATATAAATGTGATGTTCTGAGGAATAGAAAGCTGATAAAGGAGAAATGGGTGCAATCCAGGTTGGTCCCCCAGGGGCTGGGGGTACAGAGGGGTCTTGTGTCGAACCCTGCCCCCTGATTGAAGCTGCTGTGCTCTGGCCTCATTAGAAAAAAGAGCATGCAAGGAACTGTTAGGGCTAGTACTCCATCTGGCTCTCTTTTACTGATGCAGCCGGAATAACCAGGCATCCATTACAGCTGGCCACCTGGTTGTGGCCAGTGGCTTGAGTCCAGGATAGGGCTCAAATGCACATCTGTAGAGCTGTAGCGAGGCCCTGGTCTGTCAATGTGCTGCCCCCAGGCTACACGCAGATGCTAAAAGGTCAATAATAATGATAAAGAGATGGCAAAAGTGGTCTGTAATTAGATTTCTGCTCTAGTTTGATGGAAGCAAGATAATGCTTTCTTATCGTATGAGGGGAATAAACAACTCTCTGGTTGACCAGCAACACAGCAGAATGTTAAACAACATCTACAAGGGATAACAGATCTTGGAGATCCTTTGTCCTAGTGTCTGAAGTGAAGTAGCTCCTGAGATCTCTGGGCTTGCAATCCCCAAAATATTTCAGAAGGTTGGAAGAACCATTGCTGTGCTAGGCCGTGTGTAGAGGAAAAGTGGGGTGTGTGTGCTTTTAAGCAAACTTTTAAGCCAGCTAAATGCTTTTACACCACTTTAGTGGTGTTGGTGTTTGCACGCCTCAGCAGTGTATGGCACATTCCTTTCAGTTGCTGTAGGAAATTCAGCGGTGTAATGCATCTTAAATGACTTGGGGAGTTCCTAGTTTGCTGCCGCTACAGCCACAAAGTGAAGCACTGGGCTCTGTGCCGCTCCACGGCTATGCAGGAAGCCCTGCACATGGCCTGGCAGCAGCCTTGAAAAGCAGGCTCCACACAAGAAAAGTGGCAAGCATGATTTTTTTCTTTTTCCCCTCTGGATCCTGCCTGCCTGAGCTGCGTGGGGGCCTGGTGCTTCCCTTTGCAGCTGCAGTGCCCTGCTGGGACTGCCCAAGCCAGGTGCCTGCGGGTGGGTGCTGCCTGCGGGGGCCACTGTTGCTGTGGAGGGAAGCGCCAGCCCCCTCTCCACAGCCAAGGGAACCTCCGCCTGTTGGCAGCTCAGCCTCCCCTCCCTGCCAGAGAGGCAGGTAAATGTGGGATGTGTGCGTGACACTGGTTTAATCAGTGCTAAATTGAAGAGGTGGGTTTTTTTAAACCCACAGCTTCAATTTACAGCCCCCATTTCATCACGGTCCTAGGGTTTACTGATCTGAGGAATGATAGGGTGGTAACCTGGGAAAAAAGGTCTGAGCAAAATCATGCAAAAAAGAGGGATAAGCTTTAGTCCACAAGTAATTTAAAGTTAGGGGGAAATTATTTAAAGTGTTTTTATTGAAAAGAGGTCTTCCCAAAGAAAAAGAAAGAGATGAATTATCTGATAAGGGCTTATTTAGTTAGGTTGATGAGAGCAATGGCATAGACACAACAGTGTTCAGGTTTCTGTGGGCATATCTACACAAGATGTTTACTGTTCACCTAATCAGCTCCACAGTGAAACAGCACCATCTGCACGTGCCATGCTATTAGGGCAGAGGAAACTATTTAACTCTGCCATAGGAAAGTTCTTTGAAATATAAATACTTTCCTAATGACAGAGTTATTTTAGCTGCTTCAGTGCACATGCAGATGCTGACCAGGCTGTTTGGGGCACGAGGGAGTTTCAGTGCCGGGGCTGCCTTCCAACTAGCACCAAACTGAAGCACCCTTGTGTCCCAGTCAGCCCCTGCCCACGCCAACATCCAGGGTGCATACCCTGACTTGTATACCTCTGCCCATCTAAGGAAAAGTCTATCAGCTTAGAAAGAAGGAATACGAGTCATGCCTGCAGCCCAGTTACTTGATAGGTTTTCCTTGCTGTAGGGTGGCTGGGTAATGGGGAGTTCTGGCTTAAAGATAATCCTGTGGGTCTAGCTGGTCCTGGGGACATGTAAATCTCACCCTGGTGAAGTTGTCCCCCATCCTGCACTCCATACAGTAAAGATGACCTGTTCTTCAGGAGCGCCTTCCTCCTGGGAGGCAGGACAGAGCAGGGACAACATATCCACCAGCAAGGTGGTGCTGATAAAGTTGTGCAGCTTCAAATTGGGCCTTGGTTCCTATGGTCCCTGAGCTGGGTCATCATCTCCCTCCAGCTTCTAGGAAAAAGCAGCCATCTTCCCATTTCTGGGCCTTGGTCATAAGCTATTTGAAAGTCCAAGTGAGAGAAGGAAAGTACCCTACAAAGCTGCGTCTGGCCAAATGCACTGGCTGTACAGGAATATTTAAGGATGTTGTGATCTGTAAAGATCTGTCCTTCGTTCCATTTCTCTTCAATGCTTTGTCACCACTCCACAAAAGCTGCTCTGACCACCAGGATTTTGTGGTCCAGGATCTAAGAATTTGTTTTTCCAGCCTGAGTTTATAGGAAAGGCAGTGCAGGGACGCAGAATCAGTTCAGGACCTGCTGTTGGGAGAGAACCGCATCTATTGCCAGGTTGGACGCATCCATTTCTACTATTAATGGTAAGGTAGCATGGTCTGGGTGGGCCAAAACAGGGGCAGAGGTAAAGGTTCAGATATTCAAAGGCTCATTGGGCTTCTGCAGACAAGTAGAACTGGATGTTGGGCTCACCACCTCAGCAAAATTGATTATAGGCCCCTGATAAAAGTTGGCAAATCCCAGCAACCTTTTCAGCCCCTTCATATGCTGGAGGAAGTTTCCATTTTTGCACAGTCTGTACTTTGGGGGCAGTCCATTTTCAACCTTTCAGGGAATAAAAGAAAACCAATGTATTCAATGGTAGTTTGGACATTTTCCTAATTTTGTAAATAGACCATGCCGACACAACCTTTCCAGCAGTATGCAGATATGCAGGGGAGGTGGTCAGGATCTTTAGAGAAGACTTGGATGTCACCCAGGCTGGCAATTAGAAACTGGTCTAGGAGGTCTCAGGGTGCATCCCTAATGAAGTGCTGGAAGATAGCAGTGTTGTTGGTAAGCCTGAAGGGCATAATTAGTATTCCAAGTGCCTGGATTGCACCTGGAAAGCAGTCCTCCATCCATGCCACTCCTATGCATAGTAGGTTAAAGCTCTCCAGAGGTTTAAGTTGATGAATATACAGGCCAATTTGAGTTGGGCAGGCAGAACTAGCATGAGGTGCATGCAATACTGGCTAAAGAAAGTCAGCTTGCTGAGGGACCAGTAGTCTACTGAGAGGCATAGTATCCCAACTTCCTTTCTGACAAACAGGACAAGGCTCCAGCAGGTGAGGGGGCCTCTATATAAACCTCGGGGCAGATTTTCCTACTGATACCCACAGAGGGAGGAATATTAATGTAATGTCAGCAGCTTAATATGTCCCATTGGGGTTTTTGTTCCTGCCTGCAGGTCCACTGGGTAATCCTCATCCCAGTGCAGGGGGAGGACTTATGTATTCTTCTACTCAAGCACATCAGCAAACCCCTGATGCTTCAGAGGCAGGCTGGATTCAGCTTCTGGAGGTGATACCCCCTGAGGGGCTGTAATGTTTAGCAAATCTTCTATGACTGTGGCCTGGCTTGCAACCCTAGGTTTCAAGCCGTGGTGCTAACAACAGGTAGAATTCATGCACAGGATCCTGGCTTTTTGATTGACCAGGAAACCCTCCAAAAACACAAGGGGTAATGTGGGTAACAGATTGCCCCAAAACATATTGCCTGTTAGTGCCCAAAAATGTATAGTTCCGGACTCACGGTTTCCCCACTCCTTGGGTCCAGATGCCAAAGACGAGTCATTTATCAATTCAATCCTCTTAGGCTTGAGCCACATTTTTAGTAGGATTCACAGGGTCTGAGCCACATGCTCATCCACAAAACTGTGTGTTGCTCCTTACTTGGGCACTGGTAATAAACTGTCTGTTCCAGGATCAGGAGGTGGGTACACTGCATAAATTGAGAAATCGGTGGGCTGCATCAGCTGCAGGCTTTGTGGGGTGCATATGAGTTACCTGCCTGGGAGTAGGATGGGGCTGCTGAAGGGGGCAAAAAGGGAGAGGAAGAGAGAGGAGGTAAAGTTCTGGGCAGGGCTGGTCCCAGCCCAGAAGAAAGACAAGGTACAGATCAGGTAGAGATGAAACTCCAGAGCCTCAGGAATGGAAGTGGAGGGGCTGGAACAAGCCCTTCTAGTAAAAGTGAGCTCTGCTGGTCTAAAGTGCACTGAGATCCCTTTGCAGGAACAGTCCATATGTTCAGTTACACTAGAAAAGCCTTGGAAATCCTGCCCTGGCCTTGCACAGGGACTCCATGCACCTCTGAGTGCTGGGGGTTACTGTGACTCTGGGCTCCTGAGGCAGCCCCACCATGCCAGTCATGTTGCCAGAGTCAAGGAGGGTGAGTGGTGATATTGTGGCCCCTTTCTGTGGCACACTCTTCATTAATGAGTGGGTGGATGGGAAGAGATCACCCAGAGACCTCTGACCCCAGCACCCTGGGATTTCTTTACCAATGGTGGTGATGAGAAGCTAGCAGAGAGGTACAGACTGAGCCATCAAGAGCAAGTGTTGCCATTCGTCAGCAACACACAATGACGGGCTCGCCTGTGCGGGCAGCTGCAGAGGCTTGTGCTTTACACACAGAGGTGTATTAATGCCTTATTCACTCTCCAAGTCACCTGGGCAAATGCAGACATTTTTGTTGCACAAGCTTTGATAGAGCAGGGCTCTGCACAAGCTTTCCTGTGCCAGAGGCTGAGTGCAGAGGGAAATACTCATGATTTCCATGGCATTGTCCTGGAGGACTCTTCTTGCACAGGGAGGCTTCCAGGTAGTCCGAGCTGTATACAAGGGCTGCACACCATGAGGGAGCTTCCTGGCACAAGGATCACAGCCCAGGTATACATCTTAGCCTGCCTGGAACCCTCCCTGTTTCAGAGCATACATCCCAGCTAATCTGGAAACCGCCCCACCTCCAGACCATGTATAAAGGCACCTGCTCCCCAGCTGCAAAACTGAGCTTTCATGCAGTTGAGATCTGAGGAAGTCTTTACCTGATCCCAAACACTGCACATCCAGTCATGCATATATGGCATGGCAAGATGCACAATTTTGAGGCGATGGACATAAAACCCCAGTCACGTCATAGTCACATGACATTAATGTTTGCAACTTGCTGAGGACCCGGCCCTTTCCTCTCAAAAATTTGAGGCAAGGATGAGTTTGCCTATTTCTTACCTGAACAGATGACACTGGCATCATCATAACAACCACAGTAATTCAAACCCCAGAATCAAAAGCCAGAGCTAGAAATAGGGTAAGCCAAAGGTTAACTGGGATCATAATCCTGCCAGAGGCCCTATCAGGACCAGAGGGTGGAGTTGGAGCCAAGCATTAAAACCAGAGACTCAAAAAGGAAAAACACAGAGGGAAAGAAACAAGATCTTTTGCCTCTGCCCAGAGAAAGGGACTGTGAGCTGGGCTTGGCTTTAAAGGGAAGGAGCAGGTGAAGCCTGTTGTCTGTGGCTTCAGGGGGCAGACTGCCCTGACTGCTTCACTCAGCCCAGCTGGGACCAGGGTGCTGCTCGAGGCTTGTTGCAGCAGATACCTGTTCAGGGATGAACTGAGCTGCCTCCCTGATTGAAGCTGACTAGATCTGGGACTGCATTGGCCTCATTACAAGAAACAAAGGAAATCCTTCCAGTGATACCAACCCAAGTCAGGTCAAAGGTCTACCTGAACCCTGTAGCTCTGTGGAGCTTGCATAGCCACTTTCTGTAGAAAACGGTATGTTAGGGTAGCTTGTTATGTTTAATGCTATGAAGTTGCACCTGCTTACAGTCTTGTTTAGATTTAGCCTTATTGAAACATTGCTTAATTTTTTCTTTTTAACTTCTTATTTATTTATTAGCTGGCTTTGAGTTGTTTTTCACGAGCTCATAGGTGCTCATTGTATTATCTTTTCTTTTTTATCACTCTGAGAAGCTCTTTTAACATAACACAGCAATGGCCTTGTTATCAGCTCCCATTAACTGAATTTGGCACTAAGCAGCTGAATCAGAGGGCTGAAAGAATTGGATATATTAAGTAAATGTGGTGAGGGAGACCAATGGACAATGCCCAAAGTATGATACCGGAAAAAGGCAAAATTAAGAGGAATTTGCTGATGTGATCAAAGATACATGTTATGCTGACTGCAGAGAGACCAATCTGAAAGCAGAGTCAAGGGAGTGAAGTTGAAGAAAGTCATGAAAAGCAGGGAACAAGAAAGTTAGTCATTGTCATAAATCCAGACTTCAACACTTGTCTGGACTGTCCCAGCCCATGACATGCCCTTTGCTTCTAGGAGGTGAGTGGTTGACTTTTCTGTTGAGCAAAGTAATATCTGGGATTGGGTGAGATTATTGTACTGAATATTTGTCTCTCTATGAATATAGAAACTGCTAAAATAATACTTGTTGTATTAATACAGGTAGACTTTGATTTTAAGACACTGAGCTGTCTGCATTCATATTTCACGTTCCATTTAAAGGTTACTTATGCTTTAATGATCCCTAAGTGCTATCTGGGAGACAGTGGTGCTAAGAAGCACACAAGGCAGTATTAGGGCTGCCTTTGACTCCTGAGGACTGAAGACCTGGCATCAAGCACCACTTGGTCAGCTGGGAGTGGCCAGTGGCATGACCCCAGGATAGGGTTCAAATTCACATCTGCAGAGCTGTAGTGAGACAGTGGTCAGTCGCCGTGCACCCCCATACCACATGCAGATGGTAAAGTAAGTAATAATGATGCCGAGAAGGCAAAAGTGCTGCATAAATATGTCCGTGCTGTAGCTGGATGGATCAAAAGATAAGGCTTTCTTATCACATGAGGGGAATACACATCTCTCCAACTGACCAAAAACACAGCAGAATGGTAACCAGTGTCCACCAAGGATAACGGATCTTAAATTAGCAGGCATAGTGATCCTGCATCCGAGTGTCCTAAATGAAGTACCTCCTGAGATCTCTGCTCCTGCAATCCCAAAAGCAGTCGAGAAAGGTTGAAGAGAGCTAACCCTGTGCCAGTTTTAAATACATCTGAGCTGTAAAGAGATTTGAACTTTCACTACCGACTCCCAATTTGAGTCTTCTCCACTTACCATCCTCTCATCTACACCTCAGTCATAGTCACACAGACCGGCCACTTTTGTGTGTCCCTGTCATAACTTACTGAAATAATTTGCTTGTTTAGTTTCCAGTGTCCTATATTTTAATCCCAGTTTCTCTCCCCATTTCCAGCCCCAGCTGCCCCCAAGGTCCCTGTTTCTCTCCTCTCGGATGTGATTCTTTTTCCTTTTGCTGTCTGTTCAGATTGCTTCCTTCCTTTAAACAGTACCCAGGTGTCTTCGGAAACTATATCCCATTTTCAGAAGTGACGTAAGGTAGGGTTTTCAAAGACACTGAGCCATCTAAAGATGGTGGCAGGAACCCAATAGGATGTGCCAGAACCCATGGGAATTCAAGGCTAAACATTTTGGAAAATGTGACTGGGAACCTTTCTGCACCTTTAGGTAAATAAATACTATTAAAAAAATCAGCCCTTAGGATTTACGAAATTAAGGCCCCTGGTAAACTTTACATTTCTTTTGCAATGAACACATCAATCACATGATAAAGTGAAGCATGCGACATGTTCAGGGAATATCAAGATATGGCCAAGAAGCCACAAGTGACACATCTTTGTGACTGGTTTGCATCCAGCCCTAAACTGAATGTGTGGCATGTCCCAGATACAGTGCTGCCTCCAGACAGATGATAACAATCAGCTGTCAGCACTGGGCAGGAGCAGGAGTCTGGGATTCAGCTGCCCTGTGCCAGATCTTGGGGATTGGACATGGGGCAGCCCTTCCCTGAACCGTGTCCTGGTTCAGGACCTGGGGTTGCCCCCTGCCCATCCTGGAGAGGCTCCTCCATGCTCAGGGACACATTTCAGAGTGCCTGTAGTTTTGCTGCGGGATGTCTGCTCTGACACGCTGTAATTACAACACATCAGAGCAGATGTGATTAACCAAGTCTGCTGGGGCGTGCCAATTAGCATGATCCTGAAGCCTGAGCATCCATGTATTCAGTGCCCCTGCTCTTCAAAATGTTAGTGAAGGTGCTATACCTAAAGCTTGTCATATGAGCTTTATTTAAAGCCCCTCCACCACCATTTTGAGGTGAGGGACAATGAATAATCGAGATGCTGAAGGGACTTTAGTTAGAGAGACTCCCAAGAGGTGCTCTAATTAAAGAACTGGCCCTGTGGCGGAACAGTAGGGGGCGCTCCTGCATTGAGCCGCCCACCTCCCTGCGCCCGACCACCTTCCAGGCTCCGAGTGCCTCCCTTAGGGTGCCTCCCGCCCGGCCGACCCCTTCCCTGGAGCACACCCGCTAGCCTGGGGTTCCCGCTGCCACCATCCAAGGCTCTGGACTCACTTCTGGCTCTGCGCACCTTGGAAAACACAGGCCTGATCGTCCAATGGGTGCTAGACCCAATACAAGCACTTGGGGCACTTCCCAAGTCAGGGGCTGATTAGCCTCCTTGGCATAATTTAGACCCACCCTCAATAAGTCTCCACACCGGTCACAAAGGAGAACTTTATTGATTACAGGGGGTAGGGCGGAAACAGGGTAAAAGGTAGAGCAATATCAAGAAATCTTATAGGAATATCAAAGGAATCCCATAGAGCAAACCAGGGTGGCTGAGGTAGCCGTTTCAACACGCATCTGAGTTACTGAAGCTAAATATCTGATCGGATCTCTAGTAGGTTACTCACTCGCATCGTCCAGAGGTGCTTGTTGTTTCCTCTGGAGGCAGGGCACTCTTGCAGCATGCGGTGATGAGGAGAGAGCCAGGTTCAGATTCACCTGGATGACCGCATGGATAATGGCTGCCCTTCTTCCTCGCCCAGGCCTTTTTATAACCTCTCTGACCTCAGCAGCCCGGTCCAACCGAAGCTGCCA